ATCAAAAAAAAAAAAAAAACACCTGAACATATATAAAAGCAAATCAAATACAAGAAGGTATTGTTCAAGGGAAGTCATCGAAAAGCTACTGAACATCGTAAATATTTTTGACATGGGAAAAGTTGTGTTGCCAGCTACGTTCTCCAAATAATCAAAATACAATAACAAGAATGTTCAGATTCCATGATGCAATCTAGAAATGAAGTAATTTTACAGAAAGCACTCAGAGAACCACTACAACCAGAGACAAAACCACCACAAAATACAAAAAAACTATAACTATGTTCATCTTCATGCCCCTATGAACTCGATATCGTGCCATAATGTAGAGGTTTTCAATTTATGTAGAGAGATTTAGAGGAGCTCACTGGAGAAGATGGCACTGTATTAAATCTTGTTTTTCTCGTCTTCATCAAGACTTCGAAACCGCAAACTTTAAAACCGAGGAGACGACTTAGTGAGTTGGCAGTGTATATCGATTAAGGAGTTGAAAACCACCATGAGAGGAATTCGATTCGGTGAGGGTATTCAGTATGGGGACGATGAACGAGTTCCAATGGGGGACAGGGTACATCAAAGAAGATGAGAAGATGGGGTAGAGGAAAAAAAAATAAATACTAAAATACCCTTCATTTAACGGCATATTTAACAATGTTAGAGGGAGGGACCAAATTCGAATGTGTTTGCAAACTATGATGATCAAACTATAAGTTTTAAAACTGTAGGGACTAAAACCATTATAATCGACAAACCATATGGACCAAAATTGTAGTTTATTTTAAAGAAAATAAGGAATTGGGTTAATCACTTGATCGATCGATCATACGCACCAGACGGCCAAGAACCTTCACATTACACCTGGATTCTTGACGAGGAAGAGACCTGAATTAGTGCAAGATTCTTCATACTATTTGATACTGCTTTTATTTCGATCATTAGTTTCACTTCAATTCGATTTACACCCTTTTTGATTCAATTACGATGCCTTCAAGAAGAAGAACGCTTCTCAAAGTCATCATCCTCGGGGACAGCGGGTCAGTTGTTACTTTTTTGCTTTTAATCTGGATTTTTATTGGGGCTTTGTACTTATTTGGAGTTGGGAATCTTTCTCACTGGAAGTTGATCTCGATTACTTTGTTTGGAAAGGGAAAAGTTCGATCTCACTCTTGTGGTGGTCCAATTGATTAATTACTGTTTGATGGACAAATCTGGCATGGTTTGATTCTAAAGATCATGAAGCTAGAATTTCGAATTGGATGGAATTGATTTAGGTTTAGGGCATATTTTGATCCACCTTCATATGGGTGGGGTGCAATATTAATTACTCTTGGAGAAATAATTGATGTGAATTTCTATCTTCTTTAAGTATAAACAATCCTAAATCGGTGTTTCGGGCGATTATTTTCTAATCTAGCTTGTCAATTTCTGATTTAGATGAACTATTTTGATGCATCGTCGCTATTTCACGTCTCCACTTGCTTACCAATCTGTTGTTTTTTGTGATGCAGGGTTGGCAAGACATCTTTGATGAATCAGTATCCTTTATTACTTATATTCGTTTGGGCTTATTGGTTTTCAGTACCTTCATTCTTTCTTCACATAAATAGGACCCATAAGCACATCTCATTTTTCCAGATTCCAACAAAATGAAAATTTCGAAATAAAATGGCGAAAACAAATAGAACCACGGGGAAGAGTTAACCCTACCCTACCCCCATGAAGCTATTGTGATATGTGTCAAGTAAATCCATTGTTGGGGATGATTCATGTTTCACCTTAATATTCAACTTTAGATATGTAAACAAGAAGTTTAGTAATCAATACAAGGCAACAATAGGAGCCGATTTCTTGACAAAAGAAGTGGAATTTGAGGATAGACTCTTCACCCTACAGGTTAGTTACTAGTGATGATGCTTTATTTGTGTATCCATGTCCTTCTGAAAACACAGTGAACTTGGTTTTTTATGTTTGTCGAATTGTTTGGTGTTTGTCTTTGAGAATACCAAATTTGGGGACACTTATTTTGATCCATTTTTCCTCCGGGTAGTTCTGTTTATTTATGCTGAAATTCAAGGTGCATTTGTTGTGATTTAGTGGGATGTGACACTGAATCAAGCATCATTTTTCATGTGCAACTTTATGTGTGGGTTCACTATTAGTTGTAAAGGTTGCTTAATTTTTCCTTCTATATGCACAATTAAAAATAGGAACCGTTGTTCAACCTGTTTTCAAAATGGTAATTAATGGGTATATATAGTCTGAGGTGTTGGTTTGTCTCGTGGTTTTGTACCTTCTCATAGGCCTTTATTGTTCTTACGTGCTTTACTATTCTTGCATTACGTGCTTTACTATTCTTGCATGTTACTTTTAGTACGACTATGCCAACCTGCATTTCTGTCATTTTTTTTTTCTTGCCCACTGTCAACTTTTGTCAAACTTTCGGAACCAATTTTGTCACAAAATCCTTCTTCTCAAAACCTTTTTACAAGCCAAGGGGTCTTCACGGAACCGTCCTCTATACTTCTCGGGTAAAGGTAAGGTCCGCATACATCCTACCCACCCTAGACCCACCTCTGTGTGGGATTCACCATGTTCATTTGGTTTGATTTGGTTTATAGTCGAGGGAGTGGATGATTTTTATGTAGTGCATGGTAGCAGATTTTTTTTGCCGAAAATGTTTATACAATAAGATTTCTTTATCAGTTTGAGGCATAAATTTTTATACGTTACCTTCGCTACATCGGTACGTCTACAAGAATCAAATCTTCATTTTATTTCAGAACATCTCAAAAATTGTGTTTAAACAAATTTTGTAGTGAAGAGTAATGTATTTTGCATGGAATTCGACAAAAGTTCTTCGATTTTACATGGAATTTGACAAATTTTGTAACAACGATTCTTTGATTTAGCAACTCTTGATGATTATTGAAAAACATCAGCAGAGAGTTGTATTTGTGTTTCTATCAAACAAGTAAGAAATGAAAAGCAACAGAAAGTATATGTGAATGCTATTCTTTTGCAAATTTAGAAGTCATTTATTACATATTTTGGGGCAAAGTTAATATCGATTTCTTTTGACTTGTGTATACGATCATTTCGTAGCAAAACTATTGTTTTAGAATATAGTAGAGCTTGGTACCATTTTGAAGTTTGTCTTGCAGGAGTTTCTCTATTTAATATTATTGAGTCGTGGAAATACAAAGATTGGTGTTTGGTCGATATAAGAGAAACCCTATTAGCAATCTAAAAAATGAAAAGTTGTAATATGAAAAATAACCCTATTATTCTAATTTCTAACACTTCTCTACTCTCAAATTGTAGCATAAACGTGCCCAACTTGTCATGCATAGGGCTAACCTGAGATATACATAGGGTTTAATCTAGGGCTAATACAATATATATGAATAGAGGGTGGGATATACCGGGCTCGTTCGGTTGGTTTGGTTCATATAAAGTTGTAATGACGCCAAATGTGTTTTACGAGTAGAGCATCAGTATTTTTTTGAAACCAAGAGATGGCCGATTAATTAGGGATTTGGATTTCTTGAAGTACATTAGCATTGAAATTCCCTGAATGGTAAGTGTTATAATATGCATTTCTTTCAATCTTAATGATTATGATCTTAATATTTCTTTATAAGGGACTTTCTTTTTATTTTTCCTCACAACTTGTTTATATTCCGGTTTGTTTCAAGATAAGATGTTCTGCAAAAGGTTATTCTTTTATGTTGGATTCTTTTTCTTTATAAGAATGTTCTCCTTATCGTTTTACATTCCTTTACTGGCGCTACCAATTTATTCCATGATTCAACAATTGCGTGGAATATGTCTTTTACTAAATACTTCTTGCAAGTCGGGGGATTTCTAGGGACAGAGGTAACTTGGTAAAGTTAGCTTACATCTTACCTCCTGGTGGATATATTGCGTATTTTTGGTTTCGGTTGGTTTAACAATTATGTAGAATGAGGGCTTGCATTTAAGCAAGTTAGATTAGTTTATGATTGAAAAGTCGAAAAGGAGTGGCTTTTGGTAAACGGCTTACAGGCTATGAGTTCATATGCACTATTATCCCATTTTGGAGTAATGGTTTTTTATTCATGATATACCAGGCATTGATAAATAAAGAACCGTTACATTGTCTATGAGCATGAATGGGATATGATGATTTAGTGGATGTGATATTTTCCGTATAGTAAACTACAATGCTTGTTGAGTTAGTTAACAACAGATGTTTTTCATCCTAATTGTTAATTTACTTTAGATGGAAGATCTGACCTTTTACTTCATTCAAAAACCAAACCACACAGACCCTGTATATGAATACTATATACTTAAAACATCCACCCCATGAATGCTATTACCGAGGCTTCACTTGGAGATTGATGACATAACTTTTGACTTCCAACGCCAAATGTAAACCAAACCAAATCAAAAGTACCTAGAAAATCGATTTGGAAGTAAGGTCTGAGAAGGGTAAGATGTATCCGGACCATACCTCCACCTCTAGGGATGGAGAGGTTGTTTCCGAGAAGACCCCTGGGCTCAAAAAATTTAGTGACTTCCGAGAGATTTAGAAAAGGTTTTGGAAAGTTTTAGATGTTAGAAAAAAAGGTACGAAAAAATCCTTGCCAAAGGCAGCAACTTTACAATACCAAAACATGCATTTAATTATTTAACTGTTTACTTTTGTTTTTGTAATGCTTATTGTACCTTTTGATGTTAGTATGGACTTCTTTTCTTCAGAAAACTGAATATATTCATATCAATTACACAATCGAGGGCTGTTTGTTTGACGTTTTTGAGTAAAAATCAACAACTCAATCGTCAAAAGATGCCATTTGCAAATAGAACTTTTTGTGAACTGACACTGTTTTCTTGAAATATCCTTTGATTTTCTTTGCAGATCTGGGACACTGCTGGACAGGAAAGATTTCAGAGCCTCGGCGTTGCATTCTACCGTGGTGCAGATTGTTGTGTTCTTGTGTATGATGTGAATGTGCAGAAGTCATTTGATGATCTCAACAATTGGAGGGAGGAATTCCTTATTCAGGTATGCTAACATCCACCATCTTAAAAAGGGTCATGGGCCCACCGGGGTTACAGGTGGATCCCAACCTCCCAGAGGTCATGGGTTCAAGCGGAGTATGTGTGTGTGAATATAGGCAAATTTGGGGTTGATCACATTCAAATGTATGAAATGTGACATCTTGAATTCACTCCGCAAATTTGGGTTTGATATCGAAGTTGGTGATATCTGATGTTGTGTTGTGAATTGATGGTCTAAGAAATTGATTGCAGGCAAGCCCTTCAGATCCCGAGAATTTCCCATTCGTGGTTCTAGGTAACAAAGTTGATGTAGACGGTGGGAACAGTAGAGTGGTACGTGTTTTCACTGGGAAATTGAAGTCAAAAATAGACCTTTCATCGGTTGTTTTTGTGAAGTGAGTTGTTGGTTATGATGGTAATGCAGGTTTCTGAGAAAAAGGCTAGGGCTTGGTGTGCCTCAAAAGGGAACATTCCATATTTTGAGACATCAGCCAAAGAAGGAATCAATGTTGAAGAAGCTTTTCAAGTCATAGCTAAGAATGCCTTGAAGAGTGGAGAAGAGGAAGAAATGTAAGTTCCAAATCCACCTTCCTCTGTTGCTATATATACATGTATAGATAGGTGAAGGATCGTGTAAGAAGGGAAGTTATGGTAAGAAGTGTAAGAAGAGATCCGAGCCCTTGATCATTTTTAATCTCATACCCACCCATGTATTGCGCTTTAGAAGGGAATTGATTGGGTGCATCTCCGTGCACCTCATTAGTGTTGACATTCAATTTGTATTGATCTAAGGGTGGAGATCTCTTCTTACGCTTCTCACTATAACTTCCCTTCTCATCGGAACCCAACCCTGTTTAGATATATATATATATATATATATATATATATTATATGTACATGTTTAGATATACATATATATACATGTAGGGTTGGGTTCCGGTGAGAATGGAAGTTATGGTGAGAAAGGGTAAGAAGGGATCTCCACCCTTGATCAATTCTAATTGAAGATCAACACTAACGAGATGCCCCAGATCAATTCCCGTGAGAAACACAATTAATGGGGTGGGGTGAGATTAAAAGTGATCAAGGGTCCAGATCCCTTCTTACACTTCTCACTTTAACTCATATTCTCACGCGATCCTTCGTCTATACATGTATAGATATACATATATATACATAGCAAAGGTTCAAATGAGAATACCTTCATATTACGAGAACGTGAGAACACCATTTTACTATAGTCAATCACATGTGATACTATATTCTATCACATATGATACACATGTGATACTCAATCAGAGACTCGGACGACCTTTGGCGCGACCTAGGTTGCGGGTCAAGTCGCACGTACACCACTAGGCCATCTCATGTGTATTATCACATGTGATAAGGGTGTTCTTGATGTGAGTGATACTATAATCTATCACATGTGATACTAAATCTCACACATACGACCTTTGGCATGACCTAGGTCGCAGGGCACGTCGTCTGCACACCACAGGTCCCTTCACGTGTATTATCACATGTGATAAGGGTGCTCTCGTATTATCATAAAATGGAGGTGTTCTCGTTTGAACCTCCACCTATATACATATACTTACAGTGAAAAGATCAGGAGAGAATCTTGAAAATAAAGAACCGAAGATTCCATCTAAACCGATGATTGTGATGATCCAACGTAACCACCTTCAAAAAAATATCTCCCCTTATTTTTTAATGTCAATTGGCAAAATATAACAAATTTGAGTAAAATAGATTACATAAAAAACTAAACACTTTCTTATCTTTAATTTGACATTCAATTTGATACTCTTTCATCCAATTTTTCGTGGTTCTTCTGTTTTTTAGGTTCCCTCCTGATCTCACTCCATACATTTAAAGGAGGCAAATTAAATGAGAACCATAAAAAGGTTATTAACCGGATGAGAACCGATCTAAGCATATATATTTTACTTGATTTTATTCATCAAAGTCTAGGATTTTAAGGTATTGTTTCACATATATTTGTTTCATAATGTAATAGTTTTTCATGTATTGTTTCTTTTTTACGTGTATTTTTCGTTTCATGTGAACCAAAAAAAAGTTTCATATGTATTTTTTTCACAATGTGAACACAAACATATGTGAAATAATAACTTAAAATATAGTGTTTGATGGAAAAAATCGTGTAAAACTAAAAAATAATTTTATATCGGTTCTCATGGGTTTGTAATCTTTTTGTGGTTCTCATTTGATTACCTTCCTATATTGACATATATATACACATAGGGACATGTTCAAACGAGAAGCTAAACATTTTACGAGAAGTGAAGAAGTTTCAATATCATATATGATTACACGCATGATACACAAGCTTAATCATATATGATTAAATGCATGTTGCATTGACAACACATAGACGCCTAATCATATATGATTAAACACACCCAAAGGAGTGTAATCATATATGATATTGAAACTCCTCGCCTTCTCGTAAAATGTTTAACTTCTCGCATGATCCTTCCTCTATACACATATATATATATATACACACATACATATATACCCACAAAAAAGTTGAGGACCGGAGAACCTGTATATTTATTGATTCACATATGCTATCAAAATATGTATTCCGTCAATGCATACATATCTACTCTGTATGCAAGTATATATCCAGTGATGCGTATACTCACTAAATAAATTCATTAGGGTAAATGCATCAATGAATGTACAGGTTGTCAGGTTCTCCATTTCTCAAATTTTTTGTTGTTTCACATGAACTGCCTGCTATATATATGTATAGATAGATACACATAGAAAAGATGCATACTTTGACTTTTTATCACCTAGAAAGTCAAAGCTTGCCTCTTCTATTGGTATATAAGTACATTCGACAAATGGAACTCTTCTTGTGGAACAAGAGGATCATTTATAGCAATGTTTGAAATTTGACATGCAAATATGCTATAAACAGTTGCGTCGAACCAAATGACTGCATTTCATTGGAGTATACATCACTAACAGATGCTATATACTAGTCTTGGTTCATCTTCCTTTTCCGTTAAATCTTTTGCATAAGTCGGGGGTCTTCACGGAAACAACCGCTCTACCCTTTGGGACAGAGTACATGTTTGCCTGCATACATTCCACCCCCAGACCCTACTTTTGAGTGGGATATACTCGATTTATTTGGAATGGTAGTCATGGAAACAACCGCTCTACCTTTTGGGGCAGATGACAGGTCTGCGTACCTCCTGCCACAGACCCTACTTTCGAGTGGGATATACCGAGTTCATTTTGTTTGACTGCTCTACCCTTTGGGGCAGAGGACAGGTAAGCGTAGATTTCATCCCCAGACCCTGCTTACAAGTGGAATATACCGAGTTCGTTTGTTTTGACACTAACATATCTTTGGTTGAATTGTGGGAATTGAAGATACTTGCCAGATACGATTGATGTTGGAAGCAGCAGTCAGCAAAGGGGGGCCTCGGGATGCGACTGCTAGAAATCGATCTCCATTTTTTACAAACTATGATGTATGTGAATTGCTATGCTACAAACCTCTTGCAATTTGGTCACGTTGTTTGTGTGGATGGTTGTTGGATTGTAAATCTGGTTTGAAGTTGTTTTGTGGAGCTTGTGTTTATGTTTAACCTTCATATTGTGCAATTCAATCTATCCCTTTGAAGCTATGATGTTATAAAGTGTCAACCATAATGACATGCATTTTGATGATCAATTTCGTAATACATTCGTAGTGGTCGATTATCAAATGCTTATCCCGGTAAACACTTTAACGGCAAAATTCAACATTACTATTATGTAATTTGTTCGTAAATTTAAAATTCTACAAACTGATATAATTTAAGTATCCACGTGTTTATTACTATTATGTAATTTGTTCGTAAATTCCAAATGTCATACCCTTTGACTCGTAACTCAAATCGAGATGAATGATTTTTGTATTAAATCGATGATTTTTCCAAGATTTAAATACTTTAAAGAATTGGAGTTCAGAATATACAATTGTAATTAACATTTACTATTATATTTTTGATCTATTATTTTTTTTAAAGAAAAGAGAGAAGATGAGAAATGTAATAAAGGATGAAAAAGAATATGAATAACAGGAAATGTGAGTGAAAAAAAGATAAATATATTAAAAAATAAGGCTAAGGGGCCGTTTACTAAACATTTACCCGGTTAAACGCTTACCACATCACATTACCTTACAAGATGAATATGACAAAGACCAATAACTTTAAACATATTTTTGATAATGCTAAGCGTCTGTTTCGCTCATGTTGAGTAATAAAAATGGGAATTAAAGTGAAAATGAATTTTCATTCCTGCTTGTTTAACGTGAAATAAAAGTTTAGGTTTATGAGGAAATAAATCCATTATTTTGTAGAAAGCCAAACAATTTTTTTTATTTTAATTTTCGTTAATTAGCAAGTAAAATTATTTAATATCCCATAAGAAAACGGTTTTATGAAAAATTAAATAGATAAAGTTAAGGAAATTTCACCAAAATGACCAAAAAATACATAATATATTAACACAATAACCATTTTTCCAAGTTTTACCAAAATAACCACATGGATCGCCTCCGGGGGCATGTTTGATCATAGAAGGGCGATCCAACCCTCTTTGACGAAAAACAGAAGAAAAAAATATTTTAAATTGTTTTATAAGGCACACATGTATCTGATTTGGGGAACAAAACATCTGTTTTGTCTTTGTCTTGAATAGGGGGATCGCCCCCACTTATCCTCGGATCTTCCCTAGGGGGCGATCCGGCTTACATGTTTGTCTGCTATTTTGTCTTCTAGTGAGGAAATCTATTTGAAAATTAAGGGGTGTTTTTCAATAAGATAAATCTGGTCCCTAAATCAGATGCATGTGGGCCCCACAAATCAATTTAAAAATATTTTTTTGTACTTTTTTCATTAAAGAGGGTTGGATGTCCCATGGTCAAACATGCCCCGGTGCGATCCGTATGGTTATTTTGGTAAAACTCGAAAAAAATGGCTATTTTATTAATATATTAAGGGGCTGTTTGGTAGGCTCTTAATGGTTACATTAAGAGCCAATCGCTGAATCGGTCAGAGGTTGCAAGTGTTTGGCAAAAAAAAAAAACCACCTCTTAATGGTTACAAACTCCTCTTAACCATTTTGACCCTTATACTCCACTCAACCATTCAGGGGCTATTTTTTTTCCATCTTTGCCCTCATCTTACTCACGCAGACCCTGCTCGCTTCCATTCCTCTTCCCCTTCCATTCCCGATCGAAGCACATATCCTCTTTAATCGGAGCGCCGGTCGTCCATCGTCGGTTCCCGATCGTCCTTTCATCGTCGGTTCCCGATCATCCTTCCATCATCGCACCCCGATCGCCTCGTCTCCGGTCGCCTCTTCGTCGCCGCTTCGTCGCCGCCTCGTCGCCGCTCGTCGCCGCTTCGTCGCCGTCGCCTCGTCGCCTTCCACAGCCTCACGTCGCCGCCTCGTCGCCTTCCACAGCCTCACGTCGCATTTGGTTTAGGGTAGCATTTTTCTGTCTAGGGTTTGGTTTAGGGTAGCATTTTTCTTTGAAAATTGATGGTGTTTATTGCTAACTTCATGTTTGTAACAATGTTAATGATGATTGGATTACCTATATTTTGCAATTTCTTGAGGATTTGTGATCTTGATATGAAGAACATCATCTTTTTTTTCTAAAAAAATGTTTAGAATTGATTGTATTTCTTGAGGGTTAAAATGGTAATTTTGCTGTCATTTAGAAAACAATTACCAAACAACTTTGTTTCATTCAGCACTTAACCATTCTGACCCTCTTAGCCATTCTAACCTCTTAGCTATTCTGAACTAAATCATTCAGCAACTGACAAACAGCCCCCAAGTATATTTTGGTATTTTGGTGAAAAAACTAAAAGAGGGAAATGATCGGGTCGGGGGTCCGGAGCAATAAGTTCAAAGGTGAACATCCCTATCCCCTCTTTCCTTCGTGGTCTGCAAGCGCAAAGCAAACTCCCAACAGCAACAATGGCAGCCTCCGCCATATCAACCTCCTTTACTTTCTCTAACCTTCCTCGGCACAAAGAATCTTCTATCTCACTGTCTTCTCAACGGTATGATACTTGACACTTCAATTGCAATTTGATTTTCATTATTTTAATCGTATCTTATTCGTCTGATTGTTCAGCTTGGAATTTGGATTTTGATTTGAACTTTTTTTTTGTAGAAGCTCGAAGGCGAAATCAATAGTTTGTGCGTTGCCGACTCCATATAGTGATTTATCTAAAATCGGTATGCTTGGAATTGTATGATTAGTTGTTGCTCAGGTCTCCGCTATTGAAAAAAGTTGCATCCTCAATTTGGTTAATTCTTTTTCAATGCATTGCACTTTATAGAAATAGACAAAGATAAGTTAATCTTGAAGCAATAGGCATGTCTATTTTGCATTTAAAATCATGTAAGTAGTCAAGTAGCCTGAATGGTATCTGTCTGTATGAAACTGATGATACGTCGGAGGTGGTGGGTTCATATTCCCTTCCCCTTGCAGATATACATTGGAGTAAGTAGTAGGATTGATGCCGAAATCAAAGCAAAGCTTTTTTATTAATGAAAAGGATTTAGTATTGCAATGTCTATTGCTTAATATGTTTTCTGTCTTATGCTAATTTACCATCAACTGAAAAGGAAAGACTGAAGCTATGCTCAAAGTTGGATTTTTTGTTGTTTCCTATCTGTGCACAAGTGAAATATGTATGCATTGGTTGCAATTTTGTAGTTTAAGGTCAAAGAGCTACTTATTTGTTGCTTCTTGTTACTCCTTCTGTACCATGCTACACTATTTTCCTCAAAAGAGATACAGTCTGATGTTCAAGAAGGGATTATTTTCAACTTGAAAATAGTTCTTTGTAGATTCAAGGAATTCTTGAAAATTAGGTTCACATTCATAACAAACAATACAATTAGAAAATTATGGTGTTGGATTTGTAATCGATCCATATGAATTTTGAAGTGTTGAAAAGTAGCCTCTTTTACATAAATCAAAGTGCAGCCTCATTTTATCTTGGAAGGGAGGAAGCAACTTTTTCTTCCTCTCCTCTTTTCTTTTTTTTCTTTTACGCTTTCTAACTTTTATAATATGCTATTAACATAGGTATCAAGTTAAATTCTGTATTTTCTGTTTTAAACTTAACTATATGTTTTGTTAACAGGGTTATCAAGTAGCACACAAGAATTGCAGTTAACAACAGCAGAAAAGAACTCACATGCTCCTCATAATTCAAGGTTCAGTGTCTATACTCTCTTGATGGTTAGATATTATGAATCAACATGCTTAGTTATTCCACATTTTTTGACAATAATCATGTATTCATGTTAAAAACATAAAAAGTAAGCATGAAGATCAAAATCTTCTAGAAAGGAAATGTAAGATTAATAAGTGCAGATTATGAAGTGGTTATATGCAGGTTTGAACTGTAATGTTTTTTGGCACTTATGAGAGCACTCAAACTTATTTATCTTTAGCTCATGATAGGCTATACTGATTACCTAGTCCTACATAGCTAGTGAACTTTTTTGTACCTAAAGGAAAGATGTTGCCACTAGATCAAGAGATGATGATAATCTATACAAGTTTGATACTCTACTGACAACAATATGGGTGGTAATGGAGAGCATCCTCTTCAACCATTTCGTCATTTTGATCGATTTAATATTATTATTTCAATTTATTGATCATTTATTTCATTTTATGTCATTCTATTTTTATTCCCAAGCACAGAAACCCTAGAACCAGAAGTAGTAGGATTTATTCTTGTAGTATAATAGTTTTGGCAAAAAAATAGTAGAGAATAGAGATTTCAAAGGATATTAAGAGGCGATGCATAAATTCTTGAGCACATTCTTTCCAAAAACTTGAATTTTGCAACAATTCCGGTCCAATTTTGTTTCACAATGTTGATCTATAACGTCAGGTTAGACTTTTTCAGACCCACCTCCCACCCACATACCACATATAACAAATTATGGGGAAAAGTGAAGAAAGTACCTCCAGCTATCTTCACAACCCCACTTTTCATCTTTGTACACCAACCATCAAAAGTGCTTTTTTTGGGTCTAACCAAAATAAAATCAAAATCATAACACGTTTCTAACTTTGTTTGCAATTATGTTTGTTAAAACAATCAGTCATCTCAAGCCCAGCATAAACACAAACTCATCATGAATCACTTTGAAATTCTTGGGTCTGTTAAAAAGAAAAACTAATAAAATGAAATGACCATGAAATCATCTGCTTCTCCTTCATTTCATCTCCTTACATTACATTGTCTCTATCTCTGAACCTTGTAGAAGAACACAACAAAAGTTACTTTTTGTTTTGTCTAAAATCATATTTTCTTACAAGCTGTTAACAGAAAAGATGAAGAAGAAGCAGTCCATTGTTTCAACTTCACCTGCCTTTGTGTTTATACTAGTAATTACACTAGTAGTGTTTATTAGAGCATAAAATAGCTCATACCCATAAAGCAAGTGTTCTGTTAGAAGTTTAGAACAATGAGAGGGAAGATTGAAATTTTAACAGTGGTTTCATCAATGTGGTAGTGGTTGGTGGCAGCGAATTTGATGAATTGGATTATCTGAATAGATTGAATTTCATTGATTCTTTTTGCTTATGCATGCTACAATGTTTCTCTTATGCTTGGACCTTCCATTTCCTTATCTCTCTCACTAGATAACTACAAAACCCTAAACTCGATTAGGTCTCCAAAACTTTCGACCCAAATTATTAACTCTTGTGGTACAATATTTCTGTGTTTATTTTTTATCAGTCAAAAGACCCAAATTACCAAATTGAGCTTGTGTTAGATTGTTGATATTATTCAATTGTTGTTGCGCATGGCTCTGTGGGGATGAAAGGAGGGAGGCTGTATGGGGAAGGGGGAGAGAGAGCTTTGAGGTTAGAGGTATGAAGGCTGTGTGGGGAAGAGGAACTAGAGAAGAGGGAAGGAAAAAGTTACCCGAATAACTATTATAGCTTTCATATGTGTGGCATGTGTCGTTTCTAAAGAGTTTGGCCGATAACGTTAAGGTGAGGGATGAAAGAGGTAAGATTTTCACCAAAGGACAAATGCAAAAGTTATCACCCACCAATTGAAACTGTAGGTTTGAAATGGCCGCCTTCAGGGAACATGTTTTTTCATTATTCTCTCCTTCTCTGAGTGTTTGTTTTCTGGAGAAATCAGTTGCCTAATAGCTTTAGTTTATGAATAGATCACCCTAACCTATTATGCTCTGAATGCCATCACTGAGGGAGTTCCTCATTCTCAGCCCTTCTGTTCTCATTTTTGCTTTTCAAATTGAGGCAGTTATAATCCAGTTTTAGCAAGAAGAGGGAATCCACCTGTAATGCCTGCTGTCATCACTCCAGGAGGACCTTTGGATCTTTCTACAGTATTATTCAGGAATCGAATTATCTTTGTTGGCCAGCCAATCAACTCACAGGTAGCTCAGCGAGTTATATCACAGCTTGTTACATTGGCGACAATAGATGAGAACGCAGATATTCTGGTGTGATTTCTTTCTTGTTAGTCATATACATATTTTCTGGTGCTCTTTTAAGCTATAAAAATTCTTGTTGAACTTCTCCAAATTATAGGCTTACAATCTGAACATTTTTGTTGTCTTGCATAGGTGTATGTCAACTGTCCTGGTGGGAGCACTTACTCTGTGTTGGCAATCTATGATTGCATGTCTTGGGTAAGATTGAATAGTGTGTTTGCACTTCCTATTATTGAATTAATTAAAAATATGCATTCTGTTAGCTAATATGTGAATGGACTGGTTATTATGGATAGGATGCCCGTGAAGTGAGTAATTTGTTTTTGTTGAGTTAAAAAAACTACTGGGGCATTTTCTGATAGTGTAGTTGAGTGCACAGAGATTTACTGGAGCATTCTGATACAGTTCAGTTGTGATGAAGTATCTTCTGGTTCTAGAGTGTTCAGAGAGAAGGGTAAGGTGGGATTTCTTAAGGAGGGAGTGAATGAAATCAGTGCTGCTTTTGACACCTTTTAGTTGAGATCAACATGCTCGTGCTTAGTTAGGTATTCGATGAACCGTTCTTATCAAATGTGTCTCTACAGGAATCTTTATTATGTAGTTGAATAAAGGGCAGATATAATGTTGGGATTGATGAACAGGATATGAAGCATGTAATTCGTCTTTTAAACTTGCATTAAGTTTTAACGGATCCACCTTCATTTTATTGTTTTCTGAAGTTGTATGCTTTTACCCATCTATATTGTTTACTTCTTTTTTTTAATATTTTATATTTAACCTATTCTCAGATAAAACCTAAAGTTGGTACGGTGTGTTTTGGAGTTGCCGCAAGTGAAGGAGCACTTCTTCTTGCTGGTGGAGAAAAGGGCATGCGATATGCAATGCCAAATGCACGCATTATGATACATCAACCACAAAGTGGATGTGGGGTATGACAATGTTTTTTATTGGTCCGTTTTCCTTATGCATTGTACATGTTGAGGGAACTTTTAGATTTTCGAGATATGCTCATATTTGACGATGATGGAGCTTTACTATTTCTATGTGAACACCATCACACATTTTTAATCTTGTATTGATAGGATATTTTCAAATGCAATAATGCCCTTAAGAACGTAGAGCTTCCTAGTCAATCATAGGTGCACAAGGTGTTGCAAATTTTTTATGTTTCATGTTTTTTCTTTTACAATTGAACTCAACAGTTTAGCCAAAATCTTGAAATGCATCAACCTAGATTTCGGAGTAGATCACACTGAGATAACATATGAACCATATCAAACTCGTATCTGCATACTCACCTGTAGATCTTCCTACAAGTAGGCAAAAACTATTTGCTGCCTCAGTAGCCATTTTTAGTTTGAAATAAGAAGGCTTTCTCTCACACATTGAATATTCATATTCTGAACAAAAAGTTACTGAGAAGCAAATAGAATGAAAATAATTTGCTTAATAACCCTTCTGTTGTGCATTGGTTGTTCTTTGAATTTGAGTGTCACACTTGTATTTAGCAAAGATAAAAACATCTATCAGTGGTCTAAGTGTCCAACAGAGATATTTGTGAAGTTCTACAAAGTCCAAATTGTTTGGCATGCACTTTGGATGCCCAAAGTTGCATGTCTTAAAAGCACAATTCTGATAATTGGTATCCATATTTTGTGCAGAGAATCTTAACAAAACTATAATATTATTTAATTTTCTAATGTTTTGACATCAATTTCTTTAATAATACTTATTGCACCTTTTGATGTAGACATTGATTTTCTTTTCAAGAAATTAAATTATATTCTTACAGCTTCAATATTCAGAGTAGTTCTGTTTGATATTGATGGTTTTTTGTTGTTGCTAGAGTCAATTCTTATTTTGCTTTGCGTCTTGTAGGGTCATGTTGAGGATGTAAGGCGCCAGGTCAATGAAGCTGTTCAGTCTCGCCATGTACTAATATCTCTTCCCAGCTGAATTTGCATTCTCTACTTGTCTATCATAAAGACAATCATTTCTAGTTGTATTTAAGTTTATCTCAATGAGTGCAAAAGAGTGTTGTAGGACGGCAATAGATCTCAAAAAGCCAAGATGTCACTGCCTGATAATGCTTTTTAAGGTTTAGGGTTTATGGTTACCAAATTTTCTTCATTTGGTTGAGGCATGCCTAGTGGAGTTTTAAACTTTATCTGGCAATAGAAAGGCCTCGAGTCCCACTTTCCAATAGTTATGGTTAAAGACTTGAAACTTTAGGATCATTCTCCAAGACAACATGATAAAAGTGCTCTCTTCACATGTAAATACGCATTGTCAAAAAGGAGTGGCAATAGGGTCTTTAGGTTTTTGTGAACGTTATAAAGTGGGAAAACATCTTCTCACCTTGTTCGATGAGATTTAATCATAGCAAACTTCATTTCTCATTCATAAATGATTACAAGGGGAAAATAGGCATCAGAAAAGCAAGTGTGGAGGCTGCTATCTCGCTTATTGAAGTACTCCCTCCATCCCAAAATAAATATCCACATAAAAAATGTACATGATTTTAGAATGTAATTATTACAGTCTTTAATTAACTGAGACAACTTTATCCTTAATAAAAACACAGTTTTAGAAATGTATAATTATTCCATTAATGAATTTCTCTATCTCATCGGCTCTTAAATATTCATGCATTATAATTAAGAGTGTTGGAGTCCAACATTGGCTAGACTTGGACCACTTCTTATGTATATATATTGGAACTTTCGCTCTCTTCTCAAGGGCTCTTTTGGAGAGTGATCTGGGGGTTCCACATATTCTCACATAGCATCAAAGCTAAGGTCTATCATTTTAGGGGCTCGACACTCTAGGGCAATCTGTACTCGTCTAGCCCTCTCATCTCACCTGTCTAGCCCCCTCACAGCACTCTGGGACAATGTGTCCATCTAGCCTTCATTGGAGGGGGCGTGTTGTAGTCCAACATCGGCTAGACTTGAACCGTTTCTCCTGTATATATGTTGGAGCCTCCCCTTTCTCCTCAAAGGCTTTTTTGGAGAGTGATCTTGGGGTTTCACATATTCTTACAAAGAGTAGAATTGGAAATTTAGTAAATTATAACTATCTATTTATGAAAGTGGACACTTACTTTGGGATAAACTTAATTAGAAATGTGGACACTTATTTTGGGATGGAGAACTTGTTGACATGCCGTGCTATTAATATATGAAGCTTCTTTTTCAATTTATTTTGCGAAAGATTCCTCACCCCCTTCTGATTTATGGGTAGATGAAATTTTTATTGAGAGGCTCACATACAGAACGTCAGGAAATAACCCTGGGAGCCGCTATGGTTGTATCAGCCGGACTAACATTTTGTTACGAGCTGGCTTGGCTGTGGCTGATCCCAAGCATATTGTATGTACATCTGGTTGCACAATTTGCATGGTATCATAACCTAAATTGGGGTTATCTGCTAAAAACTACAATTTTGTGAGAAACAATGACCGGGAATTCTTTGCATGTGATGCACTGAGCCCATTATTAAACAGTCGAAGTCCAAAACTTGTTCTTATTAGGATGCAATCACTGCATTATTCTTTTCCCTCCCCAGATGATTCAAGTAATATACCGGTCAATCACTGGAGAAAATTGATTATTTTTCCTTACATGTGAACTTGGGGGTTTTCTCCCTATCAATTATTTCTGCAGAAAATCGACATGATGTATTCTGCCTTCACTGGCCAACCATTGGAGAAAGTGCAACAATACACGGAGAGGGACCGTTTCTTATCTGTTGCTGAGGTACCATTGAACTGATCATATGTAGTTTTTTTAATATATTTTATTTATATATGGCAGAAGCCGCATCTTCAGTGAGGTTTGAACCCTTGACCTCCAAGAAGGCATGGGTCTAATGGTAACTCGTATACCGCTGGGTCAATGACCCTTTGGTCTCATGTAGCTTTTGAAATAGCCACTTTAATGGTCTCCACTACATCAGCGTCCACCCTCCGTCCTAAATACAAATTCAACTTTTACATCTTCGGTTCCAAAAGGTCATCTTTCAAATTTTAAAACTTCAAGAAACAATGGACGTTCCAACATTACCCTTATCTTTTAAAGATCGAGTAAAACAACATCGTAGTAATTTGTATGTGATCAAGTGTGAAATTGTCTTTATGGTCATAAACTTGAAGTGCCCTCCAAATCTTGGTAAAAATCCTCCATTCTTCCGAAATCTGGACCGAATGGTTTCAGATCTGGTAAGTTCAACCTTGGAGTTTGTATGAAGATGGAAAGTAACTAGCGGCGAACAAATTCCTAACCCTTCATCTTTTGCCTATTTCTACAGGCACTGGAATTTGGACTCATAGATGGGATACTCGAAACAGAATACTAGATTGATTGGAAACCGCCATTACGCGTGCACACTTCATGTGATGATTGTGTAGATGATTTGGCAATTTGTCGCTTTGGTGATTGTGTTCGACATGCCTGCAAGCGGTAAGTTCTAAATCTTCGACACCAATGGGTAAATATTTATCTACTCAAACGGTCACTATATTTTATCTAGTCAGATCTTTCTTGTTTTCGATTCGAATGTTAGGGACATTCTTCGACATAAAATTTACCGACTACGACCAAAAAATGTGGTTATACGACCGACAATTATGGAGTAATGTGGTTTGTTTGATTGAAGATTATTCTCTGGTTCAGTCCCAGTATTCTTCCACAGCATGTTAGTTTTTATTCCTTCCCACTGTTTGCTCACATTCTTGCAAAAGTCCCCGCTGGAGGGTGGGTGTCTTTATCGAAACAGCTGCCCTATCCAGTTTGAGTAGAGGTCAGATCTGCATGCATCTCTGTGAGATTTATAGTGTAAATTTGGTTTGACCTTAGTTTTTGAGTGAGATTTAGAGGTTGTTTGTTTACTTCTTTATAGTTTCATTAAGAGGCAACATCTGAATCGTTAAAAGGTGAATCTTGTGTGGCAAAAAAAAGTATGCCTCTTAATGGTTCTAAAACCTTCAGAATGATTTTGTATCTTGGATCTCCCTTAACCATTAAGAGCCCTAATTTCATTGTACACAATTACCAAACAATTTTATTTCATTTTGCACATTATCATGAGAGCCTCTTAGTAATTGTGTAACAAACCATTCAACAATTGTCAAACAACCTTTTACTGAGTCTGTTTGGTTTGACCTTCTTTTCGAGTGAGATTTATTGGGTTTTACCTTATATTTTGAGTGAGATTTAATGGGTCTGTTTGGTTTGACCTTATTTTCAGGGGAGATTTATTGGGTCTATATGGTTTGACCTTATTTTCGAGTGAGATTTACTGGGTCTGTTTGGGTGAATACTGATCAAAAATCTTGTAAAATTATTTAAGTGTTTACAACCTTTTAGATTTTTTTAATTCAACATCACCATAGCCAAATGTCTAAATTGTTAAGTGTAATAGTCACAAATAATTCAAGATTTTCAAGCATAATGTTTCTTAAAATTTATGTTTTGCAAAAGATAAAACCACATATAAATAATTCAAACACAACAACTAGGGTTCAAGGTTGTTGATGTAATTGCATTGGTTGGTATTTTGCGTACCCTCGGTGGTTCGAGCATTGAGAAGGAAGGACGTTTTTAGAGGCGAAAGGCATGGGATGGATCTCCAATCGGGAAAACATAACCAATTATCGACCAATTAAACTAAAGGCCTTTTTGGTTTGTTCGGCGTTCTTGAGGTCACAGACTGACCATAGATTATTACAAAACAAGTGTTTTTAACATATTTTAAAACATTATTATAAACAAATCCCATGAGAAATCCCGTAAAATACTAACTATCCCCTTGAGATTTCTAAATGCCATATTTGTGGGATTTTATTGAAATCTTGAAATTAATGTGGTGACTCAGGACTATCTGCAAAGCAGGTGGTCGTCCTGGGATTAGTCGGCTCACATAGCGGGTTGGATATACAGGTTAATTTTTTTTTTAACATTCATTCAAACCAAACATAAGATTGGAATGAAATTTAATTCCTAATCCTTCCAACCCCTCTCTAATTCTGCAAACTAAATAAGAACTGAAAGGATTTTTATAAACCCAACTATGAATCCTTAATTTTATTGTATTTTTTTTTTGAAGATACAGAAGCAAAACAATCAACCTATTGATATTGAAAGAAATATAGATTCAAAAGTTTGTATATATAAGCAAATGTTAGACCAAAATTCCATATCATTTATACAATTCACTATTTTCATATAATCTTTTTTTTTATTAACCTGGATATCCAACCCGTTATACGAGCCGATTAATACCAGGACGACCATCTGATTTGCAGAAAGTCCAGAGTCACCGCATTTGAACCTCCGTGGCCACAAGGGGATTTTTATTTCTCCTTGGATTTGAACCTGAGACCTCCTGACACTTTCAAAAGTCATAATTAATTGTTTTTAAAATGATTTTAAAAATTTATAATGTTATGAGCTATATGGGGTTGTTATTCATTACCCTCTTTTACATTTTTACTCCATTTTTCAGTCATTTTTATAGGAGGGAGTATGTATAAAATACAGCTTTAACTAAAAAACTAGTTATATGTCCATATATGATGCATTACTAGGAACAATTTTTATAAATAATAGTTACTTGGATAGGCAAAGGATTGTGTAAAAAGAACAAGGTGAGAACCGTAAGAAATGATCTGAACCCTTGATCACTTTTAATCTCATGCTCAATCATGAATTGTATTTTAGAAGGGAGTTGATCTGATGCATCTAGGTGCACCTCGTTAGTGTTGACATTCAATTAGAATTGATCCGAAGATAGAGATCTATTTTTACGCTTCCCACTATAACTTTTATTCCTACCGGAATCCAACCCTAGTTGGATATACTCATGGATAGTATATATCAAATTTAGCTATGATTGTTAAAAGTGTGTTGATTTTATATATTTAGTCAAGTATGGTTGTTAAAGTGGTTGTTTAATTTAATTCAAAAATAAAATGTTTTCTACAGACTTATTATTATTTTTTATTATATATAGAGAAAATGGAGGGGTTTGGGGAAATCCCAAAAATAAAAATCGATAAAATATCCTAATAATCATTCATTTATCTGGTATATGTATATAAAAGTAACTGTAAATGCTGGTTTCTATGTATGTATGCATACAATACAAATAAACAGTTATTAGTGTTAGTCAATTTTTCATTTTTTATGTTTTTTCTCTGAACTTAACCATCCATATATATATATATATATATATATATAGGGGAGGCTGGTTCAAATACTAACCCAATATTTTGTGCAAACTTTGCTAACCCACATCAACCAATAATGTTGCATCTTTGGGTTTGGTTAAAATGTAACTTACATATTAATGATAAGGGTATTTAGGTCATTAGCCATTCTTATGTAACTCCCAAATATTTTAATTGGGAGTTACAAATCCTACAATATCTCAAATTGATCTTCATCTAATAATGACATGAAGATTCAAATATGTTYATCTTATTGACAACTAATTCACATATGAAACCACCTACAACGAACATTATGCACGAAGCCACGAACAGATATAAAGTACAGGTATCGGTTTTATCTGCACAACCCCTGTTTTTGTTAATGTGCATGTCTCATCGTCGTGCATGTGTATCACTACGAGCATGCATCAAGGTTGAAGAACATGATCATATGACCAACATATATCGATTATAGTGTTCATTAGGTTCACACGGTATAGCTAATGTTCATATATCTAGGGTTCACACGGTGTAGCTAATGTTCATATATCTAGGGTTCACACCATAGGGTTCACATGAATGTTCATACCTTGATATAGGCACGAAGATGAACGATTGTTCATACACATAGTAATTAATACAAAATTTTGACCAATTTATCATTTGAACAATTGTTCATACACATATTAATTAATATATTAATTAAATTATTGTTTATTTAATCTCATTTAATAATAACCGTTAGATGAGAAAATGAACGATTAAGATGTGTTAGCATAGTTTGCACTAAATATTGGGTTAGTATTTGAACCAGCCCCTATATATAGGGGAGCGATCAAATGCAAACCACTCAATTTGTACAAACCGTGCAAACCGCATTCAACCAATCATAATTTTTCATTTTGTTCATTTTTTTGTAATTATGAGAGGTTGATTAATCATTTTTATTGTGGAGGATGTTAATCATAGATATTATCATCTTCATAATTTTAATTTTAGAGAAATACATGAAACAGTTTCATTAAGTATTATATGAAACAATTTCACAACCATATATGAAACAACTTTATCAAAAAAAGTATTATATGAAACAATTTCACAAGATTAAACAATTTCATGAAAAAATTTCATAAGATTAAATAATGAAATCGATAGATGAAGGTGGTTTGCACGGTTTACACAAATGAGGGCGGTTTTCATATGATCACTCCTCTCTCTCTCTCTCTCTCTCTCTCTCTATATATATATATATATATATATAATTATGATTGAGATACATATGGAAGATAATAAGATTCATTCATTATGATCATAATGACTTTAGATTAGGAAACAATAAAAATTAATATTTATTAGACTAGATGAACGCCTAATATTGGTTTTATAGTAAAATTAGATGGTTTGTAAATGAAACATCTCAATCTCTCTCTCTCTCTCTCTCTATATATATATATATAGAGAGAGAGAGAGAAAGAGAGATTGATATAAGGGACTAATCATTTGATAGTCTATTAAACACTCGTATAGGGCCGAGTTTAAACGAGAACACTATTTTATAAAAAACTTGAGAATATCCATACTAAATGTAAAATTAGACGTGAGTGGACGGTGGACCTGATGGTTACGAGTGACTTGCCCCGTGAGTTTTCTCTTGTTTTATCTAACAAAATTTATTGAAGCAAAATAGAAAACATGATTCAAAACATAGAAAAATGATGAGTAATTACTTTTATCCGACTTTAATGCCTACGAATCATACATACCTCGAATACTATTTTAAACGATTCAGATTTAATATCACTAAAAATCCAACAGAAAAACAAAGTGAAACCTGTCATCTAGGAAAAATTGCTGCTAGTTTTCTAAATACATATAAATACAATCATAAAATGAGTCCAATTGTAATCTCCATTGAAGCCTAGACTCCATTTGCTAAATAGCAAGAAACACTCATAAAAATTGACCAAAATTGTTCAGCCAGAAATTGCACAAAACAGTACACACACACACATATATATATATATATATATATATATATATATATATATATACTAGAAAGGTGCTCGTGTAATACAACGAAATATATCTTGATTTTAATATTTTATTTTATTCTTTATCTTAGTCGATGTTATAATATGATCTTATATGATTATGAGAAAATAATGATGTCTTTATTTTTAAATAAGATATAAATTTGAATATATCATAAAATTGTGATAAAAATATATTGATATTAGTATCAAATTAACTTTTTTAAAT